GTCACATTGTAATATAATATAAATATATTTAATATATAAATCTTATACTTTACACGACAATATAAATATATATGTAACAATTAAATTAAAGGATGGTATAAATCTTATTAAATTTTAAAATAATAATTTTATTTATTATTACCAATCATTAATATAAACAAAATACACACTCTTAAATATATATACAGATATATATGCAGATAGCCAAATTTTTATGAAAAAAAATTAGAAGTGCAACAGACTAATGGACATCATGAATTGGCATATAGTTTTGTTAAGTATACTGATGTTTAAAAGAGGAATTTGTTATAATAAATGTAGGCCGAGTATAGGTAAGTGAGAGTTACTGATTAAAATAAAATCTGTAAATTATCTGTATACCAATAACAATAAAATAATAATTTTAAACGTATATCTAAAAAATGTAAAAATTAAATTAAATGGTAACAAAGCAAATGTGCTTCAAGCAATAAAGATATCACTTCTATGATTAATAAAATATCATTGATTAATTATTATCATTTTTAATTAAATAAATCTTTTTTATATTTTAAAAATTTGTGTTTTAGCAATTGTTGGAGGTGGTATTGGTGGTGCAGCAACTTCTCATTTTCTTACAGAAATATTTAACAATAACCTTGATATTGATTTATACGAAGCAAAAACTATTGGTGGGCGCTTGGCCACAGTAAAAATTGATAATAATGAATTCGAAGCTGGGGGTTCAATCATACATCCTCGAAACAAATATATGCAAGATTTTGTTCAACTGCTTGGTACTTCGTTTTTTATACTTCTAAATTTTTATAAATACAATTTCGCAAATATCTAAACTATGTGTCTGTTGACTTAGGTTTAGAACATAAACCATTTAAAAATCAGAGAACAAGTATTTGGAATGGTGATGAAATTGTATTTGAAGAAAGTAACTGGAAAATATTATCATTAGCCAAATTAATCTATAGATATGGAATTCAACCATTTAGTCTCAATAGGTACTTTACATAAATTATTGGAGAATTAGATTAAAAATTGCATTTTTTTTTAAATATTATGATTATTATGATATTTGACTTCTTTAATTTTAAACAGACATGTAATTTCTGTAATAAACGACTTCGAAAAAATATACCATCTACAGAACAATGGAGAAGCCTTCGTGAATATTAGTAGTCTGCTACTATCTGTGAATACTGGATTTCCAAAGTTGTTAAAGAAATCTATCAAAAATGAGCTCTTAGATCTAGGTTATTCAGAAAAGTTAATTGATGAACTTGTGAAAACAACACTGGTAGTAAATTATGGGCAAGATACAAATATTCATAGTTTTGTTGGCTTTGTATCCTTAGCTGGAGCAGGTTCTGATTTATGGTCTGTTAAAGGAGGAAATAAAAAGGTTGTTCTTAATTTTATAAAAAACATTTTCACTTCACAATCAATAATTGTACTAATATTTTAGGTACCTGAACACTTAATATATAGAAATAAATATGTAAATGTTGTATCTTCACAAGTGATGAAAATTGTTTACATACCGCACGATGATAATTCAGATGTATATGAAGTGCATTCTCGTGCGCAAGGTATGATGCACCACTAATAATTTATACATATTTGTAATAATTATCTAATAATTTCTATTTCAGATAGTACAGTTATAATAAAGGAAGCATATGACATTGTAATTCTGGCAATTCCGCTTTTTAATAATCAAAAATTTCCTATAATTTTTGAAGGCTTTCCAGATAATGATTTTTATAATTCTGCAGAATATCATGAAACTATAGCTACATTTGTCAAAGCAAATTTAAAACCACATTATTTTGGTTTGGAAGAAGAATTAGATAATATTTTAAGTTGTGATCTTAACAAAACAATAGTTAGTTCTTTGGGAAGATTAAACTCTGTAGAAGGTTCAATGAAAAGTAGTAACATTTGGAAGATATTTAGTAATAAACTATTAAAATCAAATGTTATAAATGAAATGTTTTCAAATGTAAGATTTACTTTGTAATATTTGTGACCTATGTAGCATGTAAGATAAAATTGATTTATTATATTTAAGGTTCAGGAAAAAAAACAAATTACTTGGAAGGCATATCCTGAATATTTAACAAGAATTCCCGAAGCAAGATTTAAATTGCATGATACACTCTATCATGTTAATGCTATTGAATGGATAGCTAGTGCAATGGAGATGAGTGCAATAGGTGCAAAAAATGTTGCATTATTAGTGTATAAGGATTTCTCTGCGAAGTTTTGTTTTGAAAAAATTATACAAAGAAATTCATCTAACAAAAAATTATCTATTGAATTATAATATAAGATCAATACAAAGTAATTAGCTATTAGGTATTAGTTAATTACTATTAAAAAATTGTAAAAGATATATATAATTTTCATAATAAAACTATTGTACAAAATGTTATATTTTATTAAAAACATGAACATTTTTTAATCATTTAATATTTGATTTCATATTTCATACTTTATAAGCATATATAATATAAAAATAAAATAAAGATTTCAACTACATGGATTTTGAAGTGTGTTAAATACACACGAATTTAATACAACCATAATTACATACTACTTTATAACAATGTAATGACTTAAAAATAAAATAATTACTCAAGTATAAAGTTATATATGGATGTCAATATCATAAGTTGATAAAATTTTTCATACCGCATGTAACAACAAAACAAAAATTTTTGTTTTGTTCGAGAATATAACCTCTTTACTCTTTGGAAGAAACATACGAATGTCAACATCATACGACTCTGACGTATGAAAAATGTGATCTCACCGGCAAAGTTGTATGTAATGTTGTAAACATTTCATTTGAGAAGAAACTGTATGTAATGGAAAATCATTCCGTTCGTATAAATTACGCGTTAACACCTCGTGACACAGAACAACCATTAATACATGATAGTGAAACTAATTCATATGAAGAAAATATTAAGAAACACGAGGAAACGATCGTAACAAATGAAGCTATGGGTAGTTCATTCTATCCGAAAGCTATGTTATTTCTAGTATTATGGTACCTTATTAGCGGATGTACTTTATTTTTAAATAAATACATATTATCATATATGGAGGGCAATCCTACAATTTTGGGTAAATTAATATGTAAATTAGTATAAACCTTCTTGTCTATTTTACACATATAAAATTAACAGTTTCTATCTATAATGTTAAGCATTAATTCCTTTAAATAGGTGCTTGTCAAATGTTAATGACTACAATTTGTGGATTTATTCAAATGTATTTTCCATGTGGAATGTACAAAGCACGTCCCAGATTAATGAGACCAGCAGGATTTTATAAACATATGATATTAGTTGGATGTACAAGGTTTACAACTGTAGTATTAGGATTAGTGTCACTTAATTATGTAGCAGTGAGTTTTACAGAAACTATTAAAAGTAGTGCACCACTTTTTACCGTCCTTATTAGCAGATATGTATTAGGTAAAAATCATTGGGTAATTGTATTATATGCTTTGTTTTATATAACTATTATATGACAGTTTATATATATTATTTATAGGGGAACACACAGGGTTATATGTAAATTTATCTTTAATTCCTTTAATGGGTGGTTTAGCCCTATGTTCAATAAATGAAATTAGTTTTGACCTTAGAGGATTTATTGCTGCTATGGCTACAAATGTAACAGAATGTTTACAAAATGTTTATTCCAAAATGTTAATCAGTGGTGATAATTTTAGGTATACGTAAGTATTGTATACATATGAAAACTGTTATTCATACTTTAGACTATATTAAATACAGTTGTTTCTTATATTTATTAAGAACATAAAATTACAGGCCTGCAGAACTGCAATTCTATACTAGTTTAGCATCAATTGTGGTACAAATACCAGTATTGATTTTATTTGTAGATTTACCAACTCTTGAGCATTCGTTGAGTTTTAAACTATTCACAGCATTTCTACTTAATGGAGTGTTCTTCCATTTTCAAAGTATTACAGCATATGTACTTATGAATTATATCAGTCCTGTGACACATAGGTGTGTATCTTATGCTATTTTAAACTAAAACAATTATAAGGTAGCTTGAAATTTGATTACTAATAATATTTTGTCATCATTACAGTGTTGTTAATACAGCAAAGAGAGCATCTTTAATCTGGCTCTCTGTTTTACTATTTAATAACCCAGTAACTGGTTTATCAGCTATGGGAACATCTTTGGTAATAATAGGAGTATTGTTGTATAATCGAGCACAAGAGTATGATAAACTAAACAAAGCTAAATTACGATACAACTCTAAAATTAATTTACAGTAATTACAATATTATTTATTAAAATTTTATATTTAATAAAAATAGACATTTGCATTAATGTAATGAATAATGAAAACAAATTTAGTAATTTTTATAACAGTATTTTATTCATTGCAAAGATAAATTATTTATAATTTAAATCCTTTTTATAAAGTAAAAGTGTATTTTGCACTTTAAGTATATTTTATAATAAAACAGTCTATGACTGTATATATACAATAATTCAAATTTATATAATCATAAAAATTTTATTGTACATTGAGTACAATATAAAATAAGAATAATTTATTTTTCGGAGGATTAACATATGTATGTAAAATTGATTCAATACAGATTCAAAAAATTTGTAGAAAAATATTCAGAATTATAAGTTCTTTAATAAAGATATTCTACTTTTATTTTAATTCATAAAATATATTAAATTTGAATATTTATTTTTCTTTCTTCACTATTATGTTTGTATAATTATTTGACATGAAATATACAAATATTAATATATAATTTTTAAAATCTTATTATATAACGTACAATTTTTTCATACAAAAATTAAATGGTAATAGCGGCACTATTAGATTAAGTGATGTATCTATATTAATGTAGTGTGGAATGTTAAATGGCAATAAATTTTTTTCAAAAAATAAGTATATCATAATTTTCTATTAGAGCAAATTGGGTTTTCATTATATTAATTGTTTTGCTATGATGTCCAGTACTAATACCAGAATTGTTGGTATATAATAAATTGTTTAAATTATTGATCTATAATAATTATTTATAATATTTATATTTATTAATAATTATTTAAGTTAAATTGTTTAAATTGAATTAAATTAAATAAAAAATTATTTCCAAAATTTCTAATAGATAAGATAATTCAAAAATTATATGTATTATAAAGTGTTTAAACAATTTTACTTTTTAGAAAAATATGTTTACATTTTATACCGTATATTATATAAAAGCTCCTATGTCAATCAATATATGTTCATTGACCAGCTTTAAGAGCTTGATCGAGATCAGCTAAAAGATCTTGCTTTGATTCAAGACCAACAGATAAACGAATTAATTGATCATTAATACCTAATTTCTTTTTATCTTCTTCAGGAACTGATGCATGAGTCATCACAGATCTGTACAAAAAGTAGAATTATAATAATAATAATAATAATAAAGAGAAGATTTATTGTTAGACAAGAAAAGTCTTAATGATAGACTACTATTTACGTACGACAATGCAGCAAGAGATCCATAATTACCAAGTGATCCTCCTACTGTAAATACTTTTAAGGCCATTAAAAATTTGTTGGAATCACCTTTTAGATAAAACGTAACCATTCCACTATGACCAGATGCTTGTTTAAGAGCAA